CTAGGCTAGCACTACTCTGGTAGAGCTCTATGGAGAGAGGGAGGAAAGAAAGTCTAAAGCATTGTAACTCCATGAGAGGAACAGATGAACACCAACCAGAGAGCTAGGAAGGACGCCATCATGTCCAGCCTAACTGAGCCAGGAAACTCTTAATACTAATAGGAAACAGAAAAGTCAAATAATGCCCCCCTCCCCAAGTATCTCTTAATAACAACCTTAAATGTTAATGGCCTCAATGCGTCAGTAAAAAGACTCAGATGGGTTAACGGGATTGAAAAAATTCAACTGTATGTTGTCTACAGGAAATATACCTCACTGGAAAAGACACTCACAAGCAAATTTATTAACCAAACAGAAGGTGGTATAGCTAGTTTGATATGTGATAGAGTTCAAAATAAAATCTAAAGTGATAAAGAAAGCTATTATATACTAATAAAAGGTGTAATTCTTAACCCCAGAACTTGGGGAGGCAGAGGTAGGCAAATCTCTTAGAGTTCAAAGCCAACTGGTCTACAAAGTGCGTTCCAGGACAGCTGGGGTACAGAGTAACCCTGTCTTGAAAAAACCAAAACCAAACAAAGAAACAAGATATAATTAATCAAGAAGATATAATAATTATAAATACCCACATACCATACTTTGGGACTCTCAGTTTCATAAAACAAACACCGGTGGGCATAAAAGATCAATCATATCCTGAGACAAAGAGGGGGTAACTTTCAAATCTCACTTTCTTATTTATATATTTATTTAATGTGAATAGGTGTTTCGCCTGCATATATGTCTGTGCACTATGTGTGGGCAGAGCCCATGGAGGCCTGAAACTCCTTTGGAACTGGAGTTACAGACAGTTGTAATCTGCCATTTGTGTGCTGGGAATTGAAACCAGGTCTTCTGGAAAAGCAGCAAGGCTGTCCACCAAGGAGGAAGTGAATGAAGAAAAGGTGGTATATATACACAATAAAGGAAAATGAATTAATGACATTTGCAGGAAAATGGATGTAACTGGGAAGCATTGTGGCAAATGAAATAACTCAGACTCAGACTAGTATCACATCTTTGCTTGTATGTGAATAAAGTCAATTATAAATGTGTAAGATTGTCACAAAGAAATGATCATGTCCACTCCTCCCTTGCAAAAGGGGGCATTATAGTAATCTCCATGCCAATACTTTTGACACCTAGAAGAACTGGAAAGACTCACAGTCTGGTAAATTCAGCAAAGCTCACTTAAGACACCATAGATAACCAGCTCAGCTCTACATCTGATTTCTCCCCTTACTCATCCATTTTTGATCAACAGTGACTGTTTTAAAATAAAATTTAACATTCCATTTTCTTATGCAAAAGCTCTTCCAATGCTTTCCTATTCCAGAAAGGATAGAGGTCAAGGCCTCACACAACCTGAGAACCCTATACCCCCAGGTTAGCTTTCACACCAGAGTCTCTGCGTTACCTGCTCCTTCAGGACTGCTCTTCAGTATTTTCCACCCTCTGGTCAAACACTGCCTGCTTTTTAAAACACAATCACCCTTAACACTAAACCCCTTGTTCCACTGCTTTTCTTTTTCTTAGAACATGCTGTCTTCTAAGGCCTCATAAAATGTATTTATTATATTTGCTGAAGTCATCAAACCCCTTTAGGGCTAAGCACCATGAGCAGAGATCTCATTTGTTCAGTGATAAATCCTGACAATATCTGTTAAATTAATAAATTTGTCACTTCTACATAGGTGGCAAAGCTGGTTTTTAAATTTATATTTTTTACATGTTGTAAATTACAAAAGTAATAAGGGCTTACAAACACAGAGCAAAGATGTGTGAAGAGAGGGTTGGTGCTGTCAAAGTTCCTCTGTTCTCACCCTCTCATTCTTCACTAGTACAGCTACCTACAATTTACTTTGGCTCTTACTTACATACCAAAACCCAGAGGCCTTTGTTTTTCATAAAATGGTGCATCCTCTGCTTTTCTTACAGAGGAACATACTATGTATACTGTTTCCTAGCAACAGACACAGGCTTCATTCTTCATTTGTACAATACCCCACACTAGCATATGTGCCCAATTCCCAACAGTATGAGTGGATATCAGAGTATAACCTAAAATGGAATAAATATTTAGGCTTCTATACCTAATTAAAAATCATTATTAATGCTCACAATAGACTTGAACACATGAGGCTATTGTAAAGAATAATTGGCTTAAATATTTATATTTTATCTATAGACTGAAACATTATTTTTATTAATTCTGTTTGCCTGAAAATTTAACTGAAATATAACTATAGAACTTAATCTTTTAAATAATTGTTCTTTTTCTCTAGTTCCTATTGGTTGGTTAATATAGAGATGGTAGTGGGTCATAATAAAAAACTTCATGAGTTATAAGAAACATTTTCCCACCCAAAGAAATAAGATGTGCTAGGGGATTCTGACAGTGTCCATACCAGAAGGGTGTGCTCTCCTGGGTATATGAAACACGTTTCATTTCCCCTCAGTGGCCTTTACTATAGGTATAAAACTGAGGAGGTGGGGAAATGAGGTCACTCCACCTGTCTCTCCCCGCCCGTCACTCCTGAGTCTCTGCAGTTTGTCTTACAATGGGAAGAAAAGGAAAAGCTCAAAGGACAAGAGGAAAGAAAAGACCGCATCAATTTTGACCACTTTCTTAAAGCCAAACCTAAGGTGTCTACAGCTAGACTGTGACAGATGCCATGACAGTCATTGCTCAGTTCCACTTCCTGGAATTGATTGTGACTGCATACATAATATCTTTTCAAGAATTTACAGAAAATATATTCTCTTTACATAAAGTTCAGCAGAAATATCCTCTGGGAGGGAGTCTAGGTCAGAAGTGTCAAACTGGCAGTGTAAAGCTTATGCTGTGTAGTCTACCCTGTCTTTCTAAAATTCAACTCATTTCCAATGTGGGAAAATTGGGACACACATAAAGATTCCTATTTCTGACTTGCCTTGAAAATCAGAACTGCACAGCGCCTCCAACTCCCACAAGTTGGCCAAGTAAAGCCATGCTGGAGCTGCTCTCGTTAGATGGATTTCATGCTCCCAACACCCCTGCCGCTGGGCTGTTTACTTCATCCAACAACAGTTACAACTCTTGGTCTAGACTCTATTGGATGATGTAAAGGGATGAAAACTGTGCCCTCAGCCCAGGTGAGCTTGAAACACTTAGAAACAGCAAAGAATCAATTAGCAAAGTGAGTCAACAAATTATAAACTATTCATTTATTTATATATAGCACAATCAAGCCACTAGTTTGGGGCTGTTTCCATTTTTCCTTGCCTTCCAATCTGCACACTGGGGGGGGGAGAGGAGAGAGAGAAAAAGAGAGAGAGAGAGAGAGAGAGAGAGAGAGAGAGAGAGAGAGAGAGAGAGAGAGAGAGAGAGAGAGAGAGAGAGAGAGAGAGAGAGAGAGAGAGGTGTTGTAATGTGTATAACATTTGCTATGGCAAGTGTAAGGCAAATCACTAGGCAGAGTCATAGAAGGCTCTGGTAAGTTACTCATAACCAAGGCAAAAACCTCTGAGACACACCTCTTTATATACAGGGATCTTCGTCAGTATTAGAATTTTGTTATTTGTCTTGAGACCACTGATACATTAATAAAAAATGTGAAATATCTTTTAGGTATAAACAAAGAATAACTCAAGGGAAATTTAAGAAATACTTTAAGAATGGGGATATTTTCCATGAGTATTACAAAGAAATTAAACTTTTATTATCAAGAGCAATATGCTGACTTTCAAACCTTTATTTTGAAAATACTTCCAAAACATGGGGGGGAAGAAAAAAAAAACCTACACCATAGCCATTTTTTAATCCTAGAAGCTGCTAACAAAAACACACAATGAAACAGAATTTTAGGAGAAATGTAAAACCCTGAACAACTAATATGAAGTTAACCAGTAGTTTATATATATCTTATGTGTTAGAAAACATGTTGCTCATTTTCTTAGTCACAGCCCTTCAATAGTTAACAAAACCCTGTGAAGATGAAATTAGAATCTATTCATTTACTTTCTCCTTATTTTCATGGATTTCCCATTCATTATTTTGGAAGCCTACACATTAAAACTTAATGTATCTTCTAACTAAAGAAAAAAAAAACCAAAACTTACTTCAGTTCCATTTTCTGTGATTTTGATCAGAAAGGGTCTTCCTTGAATAACAGTTTCACATCTTTCTACTGACATCATCAGTAAAAACTTGGAGGATGCAGTGGTACACAGAACTCAACCACGACTGAGACGATGGTGACTATGGTGACCATGGCTGTCTATTATAAAAGGGACTTTGCCGGTGTACTCAGGTCAGCTGACCATCTTGGTGGTCCTGACCCAATGTCATGAGTTTACTTCTCTAGTGGCAGATGCAGCAGCCAGGGAAATAAGAAGCACGAGGAGGGAATGACATTACTGTTGCTGGCTTACAAAAATAGAGGAACCCATGAGGGCAGCAAGCTAGGTGAGGGCCTGGTCAACAAGAAAATGGGGGCTTCCATTCTGCAACCAAAAATGAGTTAATTCCACTGAAGACTTGAATAAGTACAGAGAGGTGCATTTCCTTGCAGAGGCTCCAGGCAAGGAAGGACTGAGTCCAGGTCAGCTTAATTCTTAGAATACACTGAGCAATCAAACTGCTCCTCAGTGAGCACTAGCTTAAGCCATCAAGCTTTGGCTGACTCACCAACAGCAACAGAACCTTCACTCAGGGCTGAGGACCTGCTGTTGTTAACAACTGGCCACGAGAAGGCTGAGTTTCAGAGTGCTTAGGGCTTTCAGAGTGCAGTTACTGTTACTTGCTGAGGAAAAACAATGCCCATTTAAAGATAGAGATTATAATTCTAATGAAACGGGACAAACTGGCATCTGAGAAAGCAGGGAAACACTAGAAACAGATTTTATCTATAGCAAAATAAAGTTAATAAAATGCAGAACTTCAATTTCAAATGAGAGATAATTTTTGTGGAGAAACTTACCCTATTTTGAAAAAATGATGCATGGAAATGTGATGTTGTCGCAGATATTGATACTAAAGTAATAGTTTCTTCAGAACTAGGATTATGTAAATAGACTTTTTCCATTTTTGGCATTCCAACTGGCCTGCAAAAGTAAAAAGTAAATGTCAGAAATAATTCAAATATACCTATAGCTTTTAGGATAATCAGAAGTTGTTTAAAAGTCAAACAAAAATTATTAGGTAAATTCATATGCAAATACAGTAAAATAGTAAAATACATTTAGTCGCTCAACAAAATATCTGAGTGTCATTCTGTGTTACACACTGAGTCCAGTGCTACAATTCAATGAAACAAGTTTGAGCCAAATGATGACTACAATCTGGTGAGGAAGCCAGCCTGGGAATGTGATCTGACCCTTTCCTCTCTACAACACCATCCTGCCTCTCTGTTAACTGTGAACTTTCCTCAAGTTCCAGAGACACAAACAAACTTAGTGGCAAGATTCTATGAAGAGATCTTATGAATCAGGGACTTCTGCTATTCTTGTTCAACAGAGGACACTGGAATGGGGGGGGGGGCAGCTTCAGTAATTTGTTCAAATTCATTCTTTGAACCTGAATTTGCATCTAGCCCATGAACTAACCCTAGCAAACTGCCTCCTCTCAAGGGAACAATAGGAAATACATACTCAACGGCTCATTTTAATGTTCCCCTTGACGTTCCTTAAAATCAAACTCTTATTATGAGTTTAACTGGTACTTCTCAGCTAATCTCACTGTGTATTCTCCTAGCTTCTAAAGCATCACAGAAATCTTTTCTTCAGGACTCTCTAATAATCTCATTGGCACTGGTCCTATTTCCCTGACAAGATTATTAGCATTTCAAATATGGAAGACACTCCATGTACTTACTCTACATGGCCGATATCCTTCAGTACTGTAGTTGGCATGCATAGGCACACACATGAACATGCTTGCTGGCTTTGTTTCCTCGCCTTCTTTCAGTATTAAAATGCCCTTCAAATCTGATGGTTTCAACCCAAGGAAAAAACTAACAGGGTTTCCACAATCCAGACTTCCACTTGAGTCAGGCTGTGAAGGACCACAGTTCTTTTGAAGGCTTCCCTGTCCTCTAGGCCAAACTCATTTTCTGATTCAGACCTAACTTTCATCTACAAGATGCTTTTCCCCTGTAACTCTCTTCCAGGCCACACTTCTTGAAATCTTGTTTTACAATTCAAATTCAATGTCTGTGTATAAACCTCAAATCGTAAGCAGTTGAAACACAGGCAGAAATGTGCTTTGCACTTACATCAAGTGTATATCATAGAAGATTTATCCCTACCCTTTCTTCAATTCAGTTCTCTAATTCTAATTTATTATTTGGGAAAATTTATAAACCAAAGAATAGTTTGCTAATTTTCACTAGTTCAAGAAAATGAATTAGGGGCTTTATGTTCCTTTAAAGGTGATAATTATATTAGAACACACAGGCTAGTCTTGTTCCTCCCAACTCATACTCCCCAAACAATGTTAAAATTTATAAGCTAGAGAGAGGTAATTCCACAATGGGTCAAAATGTAGAGAACAACTGACCTTGGAGTGCCCAACCCTAATGGACACATTTAGAAAACACAACCCCTACAAAAAAGGTTCAAGGAATTTAGCAAAAGAGTGGGTGGGAAAATTATAAGGACCAGAGGTCCAGGACACCTGCTGTGAGATACTGTCTTCTATATACATATGACAAGGATGTTACACTGATGAAATCTCAATAATATGGCTGCCCAAACAAAACCAGCATAATGACTGTATTAATTGGCATGCCAACATAGATGGGGAAATCCCACCCCCTGGAAGAAGAGCTACAGCAATTAATGGGTGCCAAGAGGGAGATCAGTCTTCTCCATGGTTGAACCCTTTGAATCACTATCCAATTTCAAATGGTCAATTCTAAGCACATACACATATGCACAACACTAAATGAACTCTGCAGGTTGTATTTACACATATGTGATATATGTATCTCAATAAACATGAAAGACATCATGAATTTGAGAGGGCATAGAGGAGGAGCAGCAAGAGTTGGAAGGAGAGATGGAAAGATGGAAATAATGTAAATACAGCACTCATGTATGAAATTTTTAAAAATTAAAAATATTCTAAGAAATACTGAAAAACAAACAAATTCCGGTAAGAAATCTTTGTGGGGGGGTTGGGGAGGACAGAAGGCTGCCTGAACTGGCAGATAGGAAGGGTGAAGGACAAAGTGCAGCCAGAACTGACAATCAGAGAGTATGTGGCACTGGAGGTTGTCTGGACTGAAGCAAAGAGCAATGCCTTAACCAAGTGCAGAAAGGCTTATGGCTGCTGTCTTACAGTCTGTATTAGGGACAGAATGGCAAGCCCTGCTCCATGTTTCTTTTTTGTCAATTAAGAAGGGAGATGATCCCAAGGTGGAAAGCCCAACACACACACACAGACTTCCCTTTCATCAACATTTTACATGTAGATTTGGTGATGGGACCTGGGGCCAAGCCTGACACCTTGATTTCAATCCCCAGGACCCACATGGTAGAATGGGAGAGCCAGACATTCAAGTGGTCCTCTGATCTTCATATGTGTGTCCCCACACAAATAGAATTTAAAAGCAAGTTTTTGATATTGGAAAATGTGCTTCCTTCCTTCCTTCTTTCCTTCTTCCTTCCTTCCTTCCTTCCTTCCTTCCTTCCACTTCAGTTTTCTTTTAAGGGTATTTGGGATCAGAATGCTCTGGATCCTTATATGTCTGTGAATTTTAAGACAAGATCATCAATTTCTACAAAAAAGGGGGGCAGTTGAAATTCTGATAAAGTTTGTATTAAATCTATAGACTAAATTAGAGGTCTATGGTCTTAATTTGTGTATTCTAATCCATGGACATCTCTGAGATGGTTTACTATTTATTTAGTTCTCTTGTTTCTCTTAATCATGATTTTTAGCTTTCTGTAAAGTCTTACTGCTTCTGTTAAATTTATATTTAAGAGTTTTGTTCCCTTCAGTGCTGTTATAAATGGAATCTCTACCCCCCCCACCCCAGCTTTTGATGCAGGGTCTCTATTAATCTGACCTGCCTTTGAACTCATACTTCCCCTACCTGAGTGCTCAATTACAGGCACATGCTACTATATCTGGCCCAGTTTGTTTTTCTCTCTTTTCAAAAATTTTCCACTGTCACTGAACAAAAATATGGTTCATTCTTGCATTTTAGTCTTGCATTCATTACCTATTAAACTTACTACTTCTGTAGTGTTTATTTTTATATATTATATTTGGAGTGGATGTCTAGTCTATAGAATACAGAATACCTGCAAGTAGAGGTATTTGTTTCTTTTCCCATCTGGGTGCCATTTGATCCCCTCCTAATAAGAGTGAGTATCATGTTGAAGAAAGGTGACAAGAATCTAGTCTTGCTCTTGAAGCAGGGGACAGTTTCATACTTTCAGCATTCTGCATGACATCAACCTTGCACAGATCATCTTTGTTGGGTTGGAACATTCCTTTTGTTCTTGGCTTGTTGGGAATGACTACTATGGGAGTATTTCTTTAGCTACATTACTGATATGATCTAATGTATTCCTCTAGTCTCTTAGAATATACTGCTGGTAGTGAATGATTGTCCTTACGTATTAATGAGCTCTGTTTGTCACCACTTTATGGAGGACTTCTGAAACCATATTCAGAAGGATGGGTTGTTTACACTATGTGTTTGTTTTCTAACAGTATCTATCTGGTTTGGAATCTGGGCAATAAATGAAACAGACCACATTAAAAAGGCTCCAGCCTTCTATCATCTGGGCCACAGCTTGCTTTCTAGGAAGTTTTTGTTGGACTGACTCAAGTTGCTTGTTTTTTTCATACATGTATTCAAATTTTTTGTCTTTTGATTCTATTCATTTTTTCTACTTATTTCTATATGCTAAATATAAGTGAATGGGTATACGGCTGTGTTTCAACAGCTTTTGGGAGGCTACAGAAACAACTAACAGTGGGAGCAGGGAGACACATAGCAAGATGGCAATCCCTAAAGACTCAGGCCTCCGTAGTCCATGGGGGCACCACATCATCAGAACACAGAAATCCAGAAACTAGTTAATATGGCTTTCCTAGGAAAACATAAAGTAGTCGTACTGAAGCTGGCAGGAAAATTTGTGACCACTAACTATCCTCTGGCCAGGGCAGCACAATGAGCGGATTCTGGTAGAAACCAGAAATGAGGAAGGAAGTGAGAAGACTGGACTTCAGGGACAAAGTTTCCACTGTCCAGGGGGCTACTGGAGACACATTTCTATCTTGCCTGAATCTAGGAGACAACAGATGATAAAAATGTGGCTTAGACTAACTATACAGATAAAGATATTGTGTGGCATGTAGTACACTGGTATACAAAGCTAACAAATCATACAAGAATATTAGAATATTATTTCAACTTTCTTTTACACATTTGAAGTATCCTGAATTCTAAAAAAAAAAAAACCTGAACAATTAAGTTCAGAAGCAGAGAAACTAAGATCCTATTTAATGGTCTATACATGGACAGTGTAACTATTTATTAAGAGATTTAGAACTGGCCTTTAATCCCAGCACTTGGGAGGCAGAGGCAGGCAGATCTCTGTGAGTTCGAGGCCAGCCTGGTCTACAGAGGGAGTTTGAGGACAACCTCCAAAACAATTCAGAAAAACCCTGTCTCGAAATCCCCCCCCCCCAAAAAGAGATTTAGAACTGATCATACAAATTCAGGAGAGTGGCTATTTCTGGGAGACAATGGAATTGAACAAAGGGTATATAGTGCCCACTAGCACCCTATGTTGCAAGCTGTGTGGCGTAACACATACAAAATATGTGTATATCATGTACCTTCTATATATACTCTTCATTCAAAAAGTAAAATAGTGTTAAAGTAATGAAGGCATTCTGACTGAATCTTGTCTAACCATCCCTTTGTACTATGATGCAATGCCCCCATAACTAATCTGATTTTAAAAGTGTGCTAATAAATGTTATTTAACAATAAAATACCAGAGACGTCATTAGCTAACCATTATGATAAAGTACAGTTAATCGCCCAAGTAGAAACTACAATGTTTCCTTATTTGCTAACTTT